GTCGGAATCAACTCCATGGCACATAACCACCACCACCACATAACAAAAACCTGGACCCCACCTCTCCTTTCTTGACTCTCCAGACTCAAAAGAACTAGTTTTGAACAAGCTCCCCAGTTAACCCTTACAAAGGCATGGTGCTGTTAAGTCTAGTCTGCCTTATGATGTCGCCATGGGTTACAAAGTCGAACTGCTCCATAAGGCTTCCTTGCCTGTAATCTTTACAGAAGCAGATCACCAGGCCTTTCTTCTTCTACTGACTGGGTTTGAACCACTAACCTTTAGGCTAATAATCAAGCATACCCAGAGACCTGTAGGTAATTGTTATGCATAGCAAAATTTAAGAACTGTCAATATAAAAAATAAATACTTGAATAACAAGAAATAGACCAAATAAAAATCTTATGTGCGAGGCTAATAACTTATATCCTGATAACACAGTATAACCTGAGCCTTGTCCTAAATGCTTAACCTGTTAACAAGTGAAAATGATCCACAAAATCTAACTGAAACATGCATAATGCTTATCTACAAAACCTACCAACAAAGACAGTACTACTTGAAATAAAGCAATGCATGAAGTATTTTGCCTACTTGAAATAAAGGATAATAAAGCTTTGTGTGTTTTTTGGACCATTTCTACTCAATTAGTTGACACCTAACTTGAATCTTCTTTATATTAATAGTAAAGAACATCATTTCTTTCTGCTATTGATATGGCCCAGAGGTAGATTCTTCATACTCGTAATTATGTGTTGAATTGATCTTTTGCATAATAAAGTAATACTTGTTGTTAAGTGCAATGAGTGAAGATTGGCTGATAAATTTGAACCTCCAACCTTAGGGTTCAAACCGACCTTGCAGTCAAGTCTTTATGTACAGTGCCACACCAGGACTCCAGAGTAACACTGTTGTTGTTGTTAAATGCTGTCGAATCGGTTCTGACCCATAGCAACCCTGTAAAGAGTTTCTGAGGAGCAGCTGGTAAGCTTGACCCATTGAAAGTTGGAGAGTGAATGTTTTCTCTTTTACAAAGAAAACATCCCTTACAGTTCGAACTGCTTTGCAGTCTGGTGCATTAACCAACAGCGCCACACCAGGACTCTAGAAACCTCTAGAAGCCCACTGTAATACAGTCACAGCAGATTGAATTTAAGAGAGGAAATAGAATCAAATGAAAAGCCCATAGAAGTAAAAATTGAGAGTGAGAGAAATTAGAATCCCAGCTTCACCATTTAATAGTGTGTGGTGGTGGTGGTCATGTGCCACTGAGTCAGTTCGACTCATAGGGTCTCAGAGATTGGAAAAAATTGAAGCAGAAAACCAATCTTTCTCCTGCCAACTGGTAAATTCAAACTACTGTCCTTGAGTTTAGCAACCCAGCTCATAATCAACCACCCTTCCAGAGCTCCTTAACA